TGCAAACTCTAAGGCAGAGGGAGTCTACTGTGTTCAAGAAATAGGAGACCAGTATGGCTCAAACAGAGTGAGCAAGGAAAAGAGAACTGAAGGGGCACCTGGGTGGCTTATTTGGTTAAGTGTCTGACTCTTGATTTCCGCTCAGGTCATGATCTCCGGGTTGTGAGAGCAAACCCCACGCTAGGCTCTGTACTGATGTGGAGCCTTCTTGGGATTATCTTTCTCTCTCTCTCCCTCTGTCCCTCCCTCCCTTAAAAAAAAAAGGAAAAGAGAACTGGGGATGAGGTTACACAGGTTATTGGGGGCAGGTCACAGAAAGCTTCACAGGGCATTGTAAGGACACCGGCTTCGCCTCTGAGAAGGAAAGCCTCTGGAAGCTTTTGAGCAGAGACGTGCCAAGATCTGAAAGGCTCACTCTGGCTGCTGTACTAAGAGTAGGTTCTAGGAGGCGAGGGTAAAGCAGGGAAGTCAGTTTCAGGAAGCCATCGCAGCAATCTGGCCAGAGATGATGGTGGCTCCCCCCAGGCGGTAGCCATGGAAGTGGTACAGAGTGTTGAATTCTGGTGGTATTTTGAAGGCTGAGCCAACAGAATGAATGTAGGGTCTGAGAGTATTGAGCATGATGCTTGAGGTCTTTGGAGTTGCTATCCTTTGATACTGGGAAGGCTGCTGGAATGGCAGTCTTGACGGAGAACATCAGAAATTCAGGTCGGGTACATGAAATCTGAGATGTCTGTTCAACCTCCAGGAGATCTGCAAATTTCTGATTTCCACGTCAAGGCAGCAGTGTATATTTCATTCAGCACTGGGCTTATTGCCAAGGGGAGCGTTAATCAGGGCTTCCCATTCTGCCCTAATATCAGAAATGAGGTGTGCCTTTCACTTCTTTCACCTGTCCCTTACATAATCCTCACCTTCTCTTTTACTAAGCCTTGGTACTGTTCTCTAAACCTTTTCCAGCACCCTTTTAAAATAAAAAACAGAACTGGCGTCAGGACTCCAATAAATTTCTAGGCTTTGACAAAGACAGCAAGAGGACTCATGGGAATTTCCACACATGATATCTTTAGAATACTGACACTATCTTTAAAGCAAATAACCGTAAGTACTAAAAAGTGTAAGGCATTTTACAGAATATTTCTTATTTTTACCACACGAATTATTATAACATTACCGACTATACTCCCTAGGCTGTACTTTCCTCTTTTTTTTTTTTTAAGATTTATTTATTTATTTATTTGACAGGAGGGAACACAAGCAGGGGGAGTGGGAGAGGGAGAAGCAGGCTTCCTGCTGAGCAGGGAGCTGGATGCGGGGCCCTGACCTGAGCCGCAGGCAGACGCCTAACGACTGAGCCACCCAGGCACCCCTAAGGGTATACTTTTCAACCCTTTCAAGTGACTTTTTATTTTATAACTGGAAATTTGTACCTCTTAATCCCCTTTATGTAATTTGTCCACCGCCCCCCCCCCACAAGTATCTCCCTCTTGGCAACCACCAGTTAATTCTCTGTACTTAGTCTGCTTCTGGTTTAGTTTGTTTTCTTTGTGTTTGTTTTCTTTTACAGGCTGTTTCTTTACAAAGGTGAAAGATTCTAAAGCAGGTGCGTCAGGTTCAGCATGAACATAGTGGAACTCTAATACCATATTCTGCTATATGTGCCTCCATCTTGAAGGTCTTGATTTTGATCTTATTTCTCAGCCTCTCAAGAGGCCACAAACATGCAACTATATTAGGAAACAAATACACCAGCACTGCAATAGCCCCACAGGCATTTGGACTTTGTAAAGTTGGTCCTGAAGAATGATAAATGAACCATACTAAGAAAAAATTGGCAAGTTTTTTTTTATAATTTACTTTAGGTAGGCTCCACACCGAACATGGGGCTTGAACTCATGACCCTGCGATCAAGCATCACATGCTCTATCAACTGAGCCAGCCAGGTGCCCTTAAAGATTTTATTTTTAAGCAATCTCTACACCCAAGGGGCTCGAGCCCACAACCCCGAGATCAAGAGTTGCACCCTCTACCAACTGAGCCAGCCAGGTGCCCCCCAAAATTGGGAAGTTCTGAACTCATAGGAGATCTCTCTGAACAGCTACCAAGTGAAATACCAAATTTAACATTTCAGTGCTTTAAGATCCAGAGTAACTCTTAGTGCATCTCCACCCCAAATTATCCTAATTGACTATGCTCTCAGAAGCAATTCTAACAATATGCGATTCAGTTTCTTACAGCATTTCTGTCCCTTTTTTGCAAAGTTCTTTTTTCTCCTTTTACTCAACTGAAATCTTATAAATGTCAAGTCCTAGTCTGTAAGCACTGCAAAGTGCATTTCAAAGTACCTTCCTCATATACCTAAGGAGTTACAATATCATGGTCAATACATAAGAGTTCCTGTATGGGGATGACATGTATAAATGATGCCGTGTGAAAAATCAGCCTGGGGCAATAAAGCAGCTGGGGAGAGGCATGTTGGAATTCTCATTTCCCTTCTATCAAGAAACCTATCCTTAACTGAGAATCTGCAACATGACTGATGCTCCTATTTAATAACCAAAAGGTTTTAGAGATAAGAAACGTGGGGCTAAGGAACAACTTAATAACTATCACCAAAGTGAAGGAATAATTTTCAGAAAATGACACGAGAATTGTATCCAACAAGGTCAGACACGCAGGATACGCAATCCTTCTTTTGCACTCTAACACACGTCTTCAACTAGAACTTGAAGCTGCAAAGGAGCTTCGAGTACATTTCGATTTTATCTTCACTGCTCAGATGGGCAAACAGATGTAAACGCTAACAGCACTTACCCAAGCTAAGACAGTATGTCAGGCAGTGCAGGGGCCTGAATCCCAGGGTCCTGGCTTCCAGACCACCAGGCTCCCAGTGGACTACGTCCGAGGAAGCACTCAGAAATTCTCCCAATACAATTAATCCAGATTTACATTAATTTCAAGCCAGCAAGCAAACATGGAAACACTTCCGTAGCAGCCCCCGGGGACCCTGTTGAAACGTAGATTTGGATTCAGTGGGTCTGGGACAGGGCCTGAGACTCTGCATTTCTATCATGCTCCGGGGGGACTCTGAGGCTGCTGGGCCATGGACCACACTTTGAGTAGCAATGCTGGGGAGCACTCTCAGAGCTGAGCCGAGTGAAAACAGACTCATGGTACATCCTTGTACATCTAAAAAGGTAGGAAGCAAATGACAGGGGGAACATGGTGTGGTATGACTAGAAGAGCTGGTACAGTATGCTAGTTCAGATGTTGGTTGGCCCTTCCATATCCATTCATATGGCCTTGCCCACCACGCCTGCTTCTATGATGCAGCCTAGAAATGTTAAACACTTGCTTTCTCAGGCTCCCTAGTGGCTAAGGGTAGCTATGTGCCCCAACTCTGGCCAAGGGGACTGGAGAATGCCCGCCAGGTTCTTCTTGTAAAGGAAAAGTTTGGTTGCAGATAAAACTGGGGCTACCTCACCAAGAACCAGACTCTTAACTCTAGAGAACAAACAGATGGTCACCAGAGGGGAGGGTGTGGGGGGATGGGTGGAGCAGGGGCTGGGAATGCAGGAGGGCTCTTGCCCAGATGAGCACTGGGTGTCTTATGGAAGGGTAGAATCACTGCATTGTGCACCGGAAACGAAGAGTACATGGCTTGTTAACTAACTGGAGGTTAAATACAAACTTAAACGGAAAACTGGGACTGCCTCTTCATGCTCCTTCCTGTCTTAAACGAGGGCTCGATGCCTAGAGTCGCAGCAGCCATCTGGTTACCATCAGGCAATAAGCCAACATACAAAGAACGGCTGAGCAGGAAAGACAAGAAGAGCGGAAAGCCTTGACAATGAAGCCCCACGCCTGCAGCAGCCCGGACTCCCTGCCTCCAGACTTCTTCTCACGCAAAGTAACTGAATGTTTGTATTGCTCAAGCCGTTGTAATGAGCACCGCCTAAGCCATTTTGCTATAAGTCTGATACCTCTTCTAATTAGATAAATCCTTCATCTCTTGCCAGTCATTGCAACTGTCTGGTTTTGTCCTGTCGGTCTCCCACCTGTAAAACAGTCTATTTGTGTGCTCTAGAAAAGGTTCTCATTCATGACCTAAATGCCAAACACAAGGGCCTCTCTTTGCAGCCCTCATCCTATGTCAAATACCCTTGGTGTCTGGTTCAGTGCAGCCTCCCTTCCTCTTTCCTCCACGGATTTGCATGGCACTGCTCGGACCCTGCCGCTTCTCTCTGGCTCCTCGACCGTGGCCCCCGTTAAAGCTGTGTGCTCCCCAAACTTCCAAGTTTGGCCCTCTCTTCCCCACCCCATGTCGGCCCCCTGCGCACTTTCATCGGCTCCCACTGCCACTGTGTCCTTGAATAACAGCAAACCATAGTTAGCAGGCATTTTCCTAGAATGGTGACATTAGCCCAAGTATGGAAAGAACTGAGCTTCCTCGTCATGTCTAGTGGGCCTTACCCGAGCGAAGAGTGTCTCTGGCAGCCGCTGTCCTTTTAGGGAACAAGGACCAAGGACAAAGTTGCACAAAAACATGCTATATTTGCTGTTGCTTCCTGCGGCACACATCTTTTAAGTTGCGCATCCTTGGATAAACAAACAAGGACCCTATACTCTGTGTGTGTGTGTGTGCACTCATGTACACGTGTTGTGGGCATACAGTCACTTCAAGTCCAGCCAAACTGTAACCCCATCTGAGACACTACATACTCGATTTAGGTCTCCAGTGTGGAAATTATGACAGTGCACTGAAGTTATTTGTTCACATTTGTTTTCATCCCGAGACTATAAGCTACTGAAGGTCAGAGGCTGTCACTCTCAGCGAGTGCTTGTTGAAAAGCGTGGACCCGTATTTGCTGGAGCAGTTTAGGGCTCTGGAGGATAAATGGCTTCACGACATGAACCCCTGAGATCACCTCGAGCTCTGGGACTTCCAGTGCCCCCCCTCTAGTGTGAGTGAGATATTACATGTAAGTGTAATCACTTACCCTCACGGTGTATGTTCTCCCTCCAACTCTGTCCCGTGCTTCTAAAACCAAAACGTTAATGTCATGTTCAGCTAAGAGTTTGGCAGCAGACAATCCTAAAAGGAAAAACAAAAACGAAATCAAGGAACATATTAAGACCCAAACGTGAGATAGCCAGGAGTTAGGCAGAACTACACATAAAATGAAAGCAGGGCATCATACGTAACCCTTCATTTTGCTATCTTTCTAATAAAGTCTGACCATACTGTGATTGATTGAGCCACCAATTTGATAATCTAGCCTATATTACATTATCATAATTTTATCATCTCTCATAAGGTTGGTTGACAAAACATAATTATTTTTTAAATATATGTATTTTTGGTGATAATGAAATCCTATTTAAGAGAAGGTGCTGAACCCCTAAATCAACCCTTATTGTGCCCTTCTTCCAGAAAACCTGATTGCATAAACAGAAGAGTTTGTTTTCCTGGAAACTTCCCCTGGCTACACCAGCCCTCAGTATATCTGTGCTTTTCTCAACTTAAAAACCCCTTGTAGGGCCTCCTGGGTGGCTCAGTCAGGTAAGTGTCTGACCCTTGACTTCAGCTCAGGTCTTGACTTCAAGGTTGTGGGTTCGAGTCCCACGTTGGACTCCACATTGAGTGTGGAGCCTACTTAACAAAACACTTATAATCACATCTTATGATTTCTATCTGAATTATATGCTTGCTAGGGCGTGTTTTTCCCACCAGAGTCAAAGTTACCTAAGGTAGGAACCATGCATCACACTATTCGTTGGCTCAAAGCTGAGAATGGGTTTTTCACATCTAAATAAAAACTGTCATAAAAGATGGGTTTAAAAGCTAATACAGTAATACCAGAAAAGGGAAATGTTGCAGATTAACATTATTATTGTGACAAAAAGGGTCAGGAACCTACCTATAGAGACTCCCAACTGGCCAAAGATGGAACAATCTAAGTATCAAATCAAATTAACAACTGAAGGAGGGAAATAGAGCAGGGGAAAAATACAAAATAACTGCGGTGGCTGAAATCCATGAATTCCTAATAATACTAAACCAATTAAAACAAAACTCTCCCTGGTTCTTTGGAGAAGGTTAAGGAAACACCTTACCAGTTTAGAAATGCCTAAAGGTAAAGAAAAGCATCTGGCATTCATCCTACCTCTCCTACTTGCAGTGAACTGCAAAGCAACCAAATAGCTAACAAAGGGAGGTTCTGCGTCTAAAAGCATGCTAGCTAATCAGTGAAGACAAATAAAATTAGAACATCAGCACCCTGCCATGCCTAATCAACCGATGGACCTAGTGTAATAAGCATCAACATCTGCTAACATCACATAAAAAAAGAGAGATAACCAGATGTTATCTGCCTCCTGATGGAACAACACACCAGCATCTAGGAAGTCATTAGGAAGGAAAGAAGGGGAGGGAGACAAGGGGCAAATACTAAATTCTAATGTGATCAAGCTTCTAGATCTACTTTAGGGCCAGAGGAACATGTTTAAATAGTACTACCAGGATGCAATCAAGAAAAGCCAGATTGTAGGAAATCCTACAGGACTGCCCTGGTTTTTGTTTTTGTTTTGTTTGTTTTTTATCGACTTGCCCGCTCCTGTTCTCTCCCCCTCTTTATCCGTTGCAGGCTTTTCCCATAATCAATCTCATACATGGTTAGTTCTGTCTTGACGTCTGCTCTCAGAGGACCCAGAACGACACAGCATTTTGTCCATATACAGAATCAAGGATGAATCTGGGTTTAGAAGATCTAGAATGTGGGGAGGCTAAACCATAATATCGAGCACTGCTATCTGCTAATACTTGTATGTAGTTTTGAGCCCTTCAAGTACAATGTAACATTACACTGCTGACATTCATGAAAGATTTAGGTATGCAACGAATCTTTGGAATCTGCTCATAAAGAAAGCATCCATCCTGTGACATTTAAATAAATTCAAACCAATGTCTGCAAACCTTGGTGCAATGTGTTCTCGGGGACAGAGCCAAAGGCTTCTTCTGCTGAGGGTGATTTAAAAAAAGGATGAAGTTGATATTAAAAGCCTACTGATGCACAGATCTTCTAATGTCAAAGTAGCACTCTATATTTAAAACCAGAGAAACTCAGATACAAAAAGGTTCCTTTCTTCCCTGTTCGTCTTAATCAAACTATAAACAAATTAGAAAAATAAAGCCAAAGGTTTACTAGAGTTCATCAGTTGGTAGCTCCTCCTCTAAAGGAGGAGAAAGTCGCCCTCTGCATGCTGCCTACAAAGAAGCTGAGATGGCTTTGACCTCCAGCAGCCGTGGGTCCCACAGCGTCCAGCTCCTGGCTCCTAAGGCAGCCTAGCAGCTGGTTAGGGGCTACATATACAGATCAGGTTCATGTGCCTTGCCTGTTACCATCCCTGGGAGTTGATTTCATTGCCCCCATATACCAGATGAGAAAGCCAAGCACCCAAAATGACCACAACAAAGTCTCCACAAAAGTCAATGGTTTTACTTCTCACATCCTCACTCGGAGCCGGAGAAAAATCATATTTAATGTGTAACACTAAACGAGTTTGGCAAGTGGCGTTCAGTGCCAATAAAGAATAAGCACCACTGGGGAATCTAGAGGGGATTGGGGGGAGCAGAACGAGCTGAGTTGGGACAATGACCACACCAGGGAAAAAGTCATTTTTGGATATAAACAAAATTAAAAAGCTGACCACAAGGGTTGTTTCTGCATTCCAAGAAAATGATTGGGCCTATCTCAGCAAGGAAAGATTCAACTCTTAGTTAAGAAATAAAGAAAATATTTAAAACATTTTAAAAGGATTTCAGAAAAAAAATGCTTTTAAAAAGGTCTTGGGGGGTGGCTGGGTGGCTCAGTTCATTGGGCATCCGACTCTTGATTTCAGCTTGGGTCACGATCTTGGGGTTGTGAGATGGCACCCGTATAGGACTCCATGCTCAGTGTCTCATGCGCGCGCTCTCTCTCTCTCTCTCTCTCTCTCTAATAAATAAAATCTTTAAAAACATCTAGGAATTTGAAGAGGGAAGATGTAAGTTATCTAGAAAAAATATTTCTTCTACAACACTGAATAAATGGGGTTCCGATGTTTCAGTTTGTGTGTTTATTGTGAACAAGATAAGGAACTTCCACAATAATTGAAAGATTAGAAAATACCGAATATGGAAATAAAAGCTAGGGCCATTTTTAAAAAAAAGTTATTTAAAGATTTATTTATTTGAGAGAGAAAGAGTGTGCATAAACATGAGGAGTTGGAGCAGAGGGAGAAAGAGAGAAAATCTCTCAAAAGCCTGAGATCATGACCTGAGCCAAAATCAAGAGTTAGATGCTTAACCGACTGAGCCACCCAGAGGCCCAAAAACTTGTTTCTGAATAATAATTAATAATTAATTTTGAATAGATAATTCAGTAAGTCGAAAATAAGGCACAGGCAAATACTTACAGTCCAGGAAGGTATTTCTACTATTATAACTGTGGCTGTTGATTTGAATAAAACTGACGCCTGCTTCAAGGTGAAAGTCTTGGATACTCCTTAACTCCTATTTTGTTCTTACTCGGTGTATCACTATGTATCACCTCCCCCATCACCACAAAACTCAATAATCATTCACAGAAAAAAGTCATATCTCAATTGTCAACTCCACAGATTAGCTTAAAGGCTTCTGCGTTTAACTTTCAAAATATTTACTTAGCTTTTTTTTTTTTTGTAAGTGGGATAAAATTTTTAGAAAAGAAAAGGCTTTTAAGTCTGAAGGCAAGTCACCAAATACAATGTAGCCATTGCAAAATGGATTTTATTATTTTTTTAATTGAAATATAGGGCTCCCCACAAGGGTAGCTACCATTTGTCACCATACAACGCTATTACAATACCATAGACTATATTCCTCATGCTGGACCTTTCCTCTCCGTGACTGATTCCTTTCATAAAAAGATTTTATACTCAAATTCTTTAATTTTCATATTTGTTATGAACAGAACAATAAATCTCATATAGATTTAATATTCATCTTTTTCCAAAGAAAAATAGATTAGCCAAAGCTAAGAGCACTGAATGCCATAGCTCCTCATTTCATTCATTTTCCATCATTTCATTGCCACATGGAATCCTGAGTGATAGAAAAGACCTGCCCCCCACCCAACCCTCCTGGTAGGCACCATCCCCCCCTCCCCTGCCAAAATAAGGAAAGGGTTTGTTACAGTGGTATGCTGCTAAATGGTTAACAACCATCTCTGGGCTGTGGGGAGGGAGAGGGCACCTGATTTGTACCACTGGGGTTTCTGTGGTGTATAGACATTCCCATGATGTCTGATTTCAAACTACTTATTTCAAGCTACCCACGTGGTATCACCAAATGTGGAATTGGAAAAAGGCCTCCCCACCAGCCAGTAGAAGCCCCCACACACTGTTAGAGGTATAAACTCTCGGCCTCAGATCTGTGAGGAGAGGGATAAAGTCAGGGAGGGGAGAGTGTGTATTAAATCGGCAGGTGTACGAGATACAAGTGTCCTTGTGCCTAAAGTCTCTGGTTCTCCCACGGAGAACCTCCATTTTGAGGGAAGAGGTCTAAGTGGGCCCTGGTAGAATCTACCATTCATTGCACGTGCACCTAGAGCTGTTCCTCTCCCAAATCATGGCAAAGCAAACTCCTTAGAAGGGAAAGAGCCCAGGACTCTCAAACGTCCTGTGGTTTTCTATGAGGGTTAAGAGCCCGGAGAAGTCATGTTCACAAAGAGTTTGATCGAGACTTACTGTGTAAATCAGGATCTGATCACTTTTAAAATGCAAAAAAAAGTCTGAAAAACAGGAAAATCAGAGGAGCAGGGCACAAATCTTGAATCACTCTGCAATTAAGTAGCTTAAATAGGAACGAGAAGTTTAAAACAATACAGTTCCTCTCCCGATATTTCTTCTATCATTTGGGTTTCACATAAACCAGAATAAAACAGGTGAAAGGATGTATTAGATAGGTTTAAAAAAAAAAAAAAGCCAGGCTGCTTTTAAAAACACACGCCAGGGCGCTTGGGTGGCTCAGTGGGTTAAAGCCTCTGCCTTCGGCTTGGGTTATGATCTCAGGGT